CATTCGTAACGCGGTCGACATGCCACTCAGGCGGAGGAGAAGAAAAATACAACATGCCTGTGTACGCATCAGATTCTGATCGATATTTTTTGTTGTTTTTTTTTTTCAAAGCCTATATATTAAATATATCCACAGCCAATTAACAAAGTCATTTTCGAATGCATAGAATGATTTAAATGTGAACAAATGTCAGAGGCAAACACGAAGATTGAATGAGAAATCGACGTTGAATCGTTTTTTATATATGATATTTATTAGATTTTTGCATATTGCTTCATTGTTTGTCTAGGAAATGGAGCATCACAATTCGAAACATGTTGATCAATTTTCGATGATTATGATTTCGACATGGATCTTTAACAAGTCTTTAAAATGATCACTTCTTTCGTTGTTTTATTCGTTTTCTTCCTCTTCTCTCTATTTCTTCGTTTTCGTTTCTCCCTCTGTCTCTCCCTCTCTTTCCCAGCAGTGCCATTTGAATGTGACATCATTAATGTCTTGTTTTTCCATCGAAAGTTCTGAACACATTGTAGATGTATTGTCCCTTTGTTATCTAAATGTTGCTGATACATAGGTTGTACCAATCGACGGATGTCAATTAAAATTGTAACCGATTTACCATAAAAACAATCAAGGATATAAATATTATGACCATTTTTTCTCTCTCCGGTATTTATTTGTTTTTTTTTTTTTATTTGCTCCATTTCATATTTCTCTTCTTTGCGATTCAATTTTCTATTCGAATCAAATTCTCGTCGCTTTAAAGCAGTTTCCAAAGAACATTTCACGGCTATTTGTTTATCGATTTTATTGTATCCGCAAAATAACGATTAACTTCTTTTCTTCCATCTCTGTTTCTTTCTCCATACAATTTTTGACCCGAATTTTGCATAATTCACATTCAGCGAATCCGATTTCATTAACTTTGCAGTTCAGAAAATATTTTCGTTGAAATCGTTATCAGTTCGTTGGATCCGCCTCATGTGTTTTGGATCAATTGTGGAGTAAATCTTATCAAGGTGCAGATTGATTAAATGTATCAAATGAGTGCATTCGATTGACATCATGGCTGGATTGGGCACGAAATGATCAAATCATTAATGCATTCAATAATAAATTGTATTAAATACAAATAAGCGTTTTCCTTATCATATATATTATGTCATTATCATTGTCGATCCGTTGTTTCATTATTGTATCAGTTATATTATTGATTTAATGGTTAACCAACGGAGTAAAACTGAGTGAACATCTATAAAGCGCAAATATAAAAACGGCCGAATAACAAATAGAAAATTTCATCATCGGTCGATTAAAGACGACAGTTTAGTCATCAAAACAAATTAACGATTTGATTCGTGTTGAAGCAAAAGAAAAAGACACCATAAGAAATCAAAGATATCATTCCGTTGGTATTGTTTTATCAAGCATTGAATGCACAAACCAAGCCCTCACTTTGCTCTTATGCTATATCTATCATAGAGCGAACGAGAAAAACAACAAAATAATAATGTAAAAATTGTTAAGAAATTAGAGTTTATAATTCATTTAATACAATTTACTATATGATATTGTTGCGGTGACTTCACGCGGTTCAACTGGCTGATATCAGACGGGAAACGCGCACATGCAACATCACAGTGACACTCGTGCGCGCGGCTATCGACAATAAATTGTACATTGCAATCACATATTCGGTTTGACTGCCACATCCAGCTACAAACGATGATGACGACGACGAAAACAGCAGCAATAATTCCAACGACAAATTAAAAGAAAAATCCATCAATAAACGAATCAATAAAGAGGTAGCCATATTGATACCGTATGATGAAGATTACAACCATCTAATCAATTGCTATTTTGCAGTCAGTTATTAATTGGATTATAAAAATTTATAAATCCATTTATTGGCCGCTTGTGATTGTGGCCATTTCACTTCTCTTCTTTTTTTCTTCATCTTGGCACAGAAGATGATGAAAAAAAGAGAGCTGCAAATCGATCGTGGAATGAAATGTAAGTGCGTGTGTATAGTAGAGAGAAAAGGCTAACAAATGGCATGAATGGCAGTGGAGATTGCAATATCAAAATGCTCAAATACGCGCGCGCACACAATATGCAATCAAACAATCTCCGATTGCATACTTTACCGCCAATTGTGTCAGTGTCTAATTAAATTCCAATGAAATTATATTAACAGATGCTATTTCAGTCTAACGGAGCTGCGAAACTGGAAAATTTCGATGTGTCATTCAATCGTATGTGTTATGAGTGTCGTTTGAATGCCGTTTGTTTCAAGTTCAAAATTCCGAAAAAACGCACATTTTTTAAGGGAAATGCTTGGCTGGTCTCGGGTATTCAATCATTTTCCATAGCCATATGCAATTACAATAATATAATTGAACCAATAAATGTCCATGTATGCGTTTCATAATTGGCAAATCAACGTACAAATGAAAGCCCACTGAATATAACGCTTCCGTTTTTGTTTTTGTTTGCTAGATGCACCATATTTCTTCTGGTTTTTCGTGTTACTTTCATTGTTTGTGCCGTTGTTGCGTGAAAAAATAATTAAATACAAATAAAATCATAAATAAAATGCAATGGCAGAAGAAGAAAAAAAGTTTTATATGTATTTTTTTTTATTGCCGATGAAAGATGAAGCAATGAAGTAGTTGCCGTAATTACATCAACAATCGTCGCACGTTCGTCGAAAAAAAGAAATACATTTCTTTTCTTGCCGTTTTATTTATTTCGGTGTATCCTTTTTCATTCATTGTTTAAAATCGATCGGTGTAATACGCGAATCGCTTTGAATGTGAGTGTATATGTTGTTGGTTTGGTCGCGAGCGCAACGGTAGCTTCATTGCCTTTCATCGCTTCTGACTTTTTATTATGTATTATTATTGTTCGAAATGGCTAACGAGCCAATTATATACACTGTCCACGTCGAAGCTTTGATGATCGATAATAAGTTTGTTGTTCTCAGTATACGTGTGCATAATGGTAATGCTTAGTTTTGCACAGGGGTTTTCGGTTTTTCTTTTGCGCCAACGTTTGTGTGTTTGTTTTTATATTTCGTTTTGGATGACAGCGTGAACGGCTGAAAACGGCTGGGATTGGGGAATCATCTGGGTATTTCCATGTGTGCATGGCATTTGTATGTGTATTTTCACGGCGATGATAGATGTGGCAATTGCTGTATATTGCCGTTTCAAACACTATGTTGACCAAAAAACAAATACAAAAGACACAACGATTCTATGCGCTTTGTGTCTTTTTAATCTCTCTGCGTATCCGGACCTGGAATGATGCAATTCACATTTGAATCGTTTAGAATAAAATACACAATTCTTATGGTCATCAGGCAAATTCAGATCATCGCGCGTTAAAACAAACTATAAGATCATCTCAAAATGCTGAAGCACAGACGCACAATAAAAACACTGACATGAAATGGAATATATGTCTTTTGTTAAGGCATGTTTGCGTGCGAGAAAATCATGTGCTATTTTTGCTGGTACGAAACCTGACTTTTATTCTCAGCGATTTATTTGAGATGGTATGAGCTTGGTTCACTTGATGCTATATTTGCTGCCAACGCCGGCCACACGAGACACATTCATTTCGATTGTATAAAAAAAACCGTACTCCGTTTTGGATCCTCGAACAAAATATTTACCATTTATTGCTTTTATGTAGTTGGTGCATCCTCAAGCGCATATAATCATTTACCATTTTCGAACATTTTATTATAAATTTTAATTTTTTATTTTGAATAAACGACCAGAATGAATACTTTTTCCACGAATGTTGCTTATTATGCGCATTCTGCTCTTGATTATTGAGTCCAATGCACGTGAGAAGATTAAAATTCGTCAAATTTATAATGTACACAATAAAATACACATGAACATGAACATCACGGAACACTCAGCTAATTTAAAGGAAAACAATAAAGGCTCTCGACCCAATGAACTGTTCCAACCAAATCCACAGGTGCAAATACATTACAATACTTTTTTTGTAATCACTTAATTGAACCGTATCGGTGAATGGTAATACTTTCGGCACCCACATCTTGAACGATTGACCCAATAAATTAGTTCTGATTGCCAATACACTTCAATGTATCGTTTTCAGATCAATAAATAAACATTTCAATGAAATAAATCGAACAAAACACATCATTTCATTGCAAAATCATTAAAAATAAACGTCTTACCATTTTCATTCCGGAATTTTTCTTCGTTTTTTTTTGTCTCTGTTGAGTGAGAAAGCGAAATACAGAGAGAAAAAGCAATAAAGCAATTAAAATCGAACAAAATGAAAGCATATTTCTGTTTAAACTGTTTTGTACGTTACGTGAAGGCAATAAAAAAAGTGTTATTAAAATACATGAACAAAATTAATCACTATTATCACAATAATATTTCAGAATAAAAAGAACCTGTCCTAAAATGGATTGACGCTCTTATGTGATATAGAAAATGACAAATATCAATTTATTTGACGCTCAAAAGTTTAAACGAATTTAAATCGCACAATGTAAAGTGAAATATTGCGTCACAGTTTCGATTTGCTGAATGGATCTCTGAAATGAATGTTAAAGAAGCGATAAGATTACTGCCTAAAATGATAAAAAAATAAAATTCACACATAGTTGGCACTACATTCTATGTAATAAGCGTATACTTTCCACTTGATCCGTTGCCACGGAAAACAAGTTTGCATAGAATGCAGCGCCAACTATACGTGAATTTTATTTTTTATCGTTTTAGGCAATAAATCTATGGTTTTCTTATGGCTTCTTTCTTTGAAGACAATTGATTTTTTGATCGAAAACTTAAATATCAATTTTATCAATAGCACTAGTGCAGCTGTCTTTTTCAATTTCATCATATTTCGCTTTCATGAATTTCATTTCATTTATCAGATTCATTGCTTATTTTAATTTCGTCGTTTTTATCAATTTCATCGCTTTCATGAGTTTTATCGCGTTAATGATTTTTACCACAATTTCTACGACAACTACATATCCAACAAATTAAAAAAAATATAAGTACAACAATTAACAGTGCGAGGGCCGGTGTATAATCTTCAGGAGTCGAATCTGTCGTAATAGTTACATTTCTTTTAGCACTCGGATAAGGTATCCTTCTTGTTATACGACTCAATTTTTGCAACTGTGTCAATTCATTTGCTTTGATCTACATAGGAATTTAAATATTGACAGAGAATCGCACATTATTCATAAGAAAAAAATCATTACTTTATCAAAATGGCATACCTGTTCGTTTGGATAAAGTGCTTCAAAGCACCACTCTAATCCGGAATCATGAAAAAGTTGTGTGAAATTTTGACACCCGTTATCCTCTTCTCTATGCCACTCTTCATTTTCACACGCTAAAAATGTGAAATTAAATAATTTATATATCGATTTGTTGAAATAAAAAAAAACGATTTACCTAAACATAATTCCAATAAATAAATGCGGCTTCGAAGTCGCGTTTCAATCTGCATTAAATTTCCTCTATTGACATCGATGTTTTTCAACTGAATGTCACAAACCGAACAACATTTCTTGTCATGTAAAGCATTTACACATTCACGAATACATTCTTCAGAATATGGCTTCTCGATGGTACAATTTTGACTACAGCAAATATTTTTCATTAGGAAATTCAAAATCACTTCTTTGTATTTTATTTTATCAATTCTTACCCTGCTGCTAGCCAAATTGTACATATTGTAACAAATATTCGAATGAAGCGTGACATTTTCATATGTACCACAAGGTTTTCGGCACAACTTTTTACGGAAATATACTTTTATTTCAGCGGAATTAAGATGTTACTATTCTAAAGGAGATACGAAGCACACTGAGGTCATTGGTTTGACGTTAAGCACAAATCTTAACAAACACACGTATAGGATTGAATATGTAAAATGGTCTACATACGAAAATATTTATGCAGGAAAGAAATAATTATTTTTATCTGTCAGTGGATACAGCAGATTTTAAAAGAAAAAAGAGTCAAAATAAAAGTTATGATACAACATATCACAAAACAACTTTTCTTCTATAGTATAACAGTCAATAGTGAGAAAAAAATGAGTGAGAGTATTTTTAGCGCATACATACCGGCAGCATCTGGGCATCATTGATGCCTCAAACACATAAATTATTGTATTATGTATATACTTGACTTTATTTAAGAACATACAAAACAAATAACACCTTAAAAGTATTTTATTATTTAATATCTTGTAAAAAGTCGAATTTCAAAACAAAAGCAGAAAAATAGTATCACTTCGCATTTTTTAATTCCTTTGAATTTTTACTTGAACTTCGAATAGGTAGCATATATTGTTTTTCTTTAGATAATCCATGACCCCTCTAACGGTTTATATCGTGTCGGGGTTCTAAACTCAACATTCCGATTTTAAAATTCACTGAATATATAAGAGTGACGCAAAACTGACTGTTTTCGAATACTATTTTTGAAGTGGACTATATTTCTCCATGTGAAAATAGTTTGATTAATGTTAAAGCATAACTACATAATAATAAAAGTTGATTTTTTATTGTTATTCTGTTTTAGTTCTTTAACCGTGAACAGTTTTCACTAATTTTCTCGAATCAATTTGCTCGTGAAATAATGCGTCGCAGTTTCGATTTATGAATGGATGGGATCTCTGAAATAAACGCAGAATATGTTCGAAATAGAAAAATGAATTCGAAACTAAGACAATTGATCTTTTGATCGAAAACTTAAACATCACTTTTATCAATTTCATCTGATTTATAAATTTCGTCGCTTTCATGAATTTCATTGCTTATTTCATCGCATTCATCAGTTTCATCGCGATCATAATTTTTACGAAAACTACATAGACAACACATAAAAAATTTAAAGACCAAAACGAGTAGTGTTAGGGCCGATGTAAAATTGGAAGAATCTACATCAGTTGATCCCATCGTTGTATAGGAATGGTATAGTGTCTTTGCTGACCATGAGCTATAGATGCTACACCCTTTCTTGGTATACGACTCATATATTATATACGTAAAGCTTCAAGTATCACTTGTGACGCAAAATTGACTATTTTCGTTTTTTTTGGTCAAACTCAAGACGGAGCGTCACTTCATAAACTATCGTTCTCCATGTGAAAATAGTGTGATTCGAGTTAAAGCGTTCAACATGAAAATCACACTTGAATTTTTTTTATTGTTATTCTGTTTTTAACCGTAAACACTTTTCATTAATTTGCTCGTATCGTCATTTATTGGCGACATTTTTTTTCGTTTTTCTCCTTCTCCTTTATTTTTGCACTCATTTACGTCGCAAATTGGATTGTTTTGATTTTCGCTCGTTCGTCATCTAAAACAGTTAGTTGCACAGTAAACAAAACAATGGTCAACCGAATGAGCAATTGAAAAATGAGCAACACACATAAATCGAGTCGTCATTTGTTGGTGCAATGCAATGTGTACATGTACTCGCAACAAATGTGCAAATACAATATTAATGGTTATTTATGTTGAATTTTTGTTGTTTCAGAGCCTCAGAGCCTCAGAGCCATTGGATCTGTGCATCATGCGGTGACCACATACGTATTTGAGTCAGAAAATCGAATAAGAAATGTCATATAATGAATGCATTAAAAGAAAAGTGCGAAATTGAAAATCACAACGATGAGGCTGAGGCACAATATGAGGTCAACTTGTTTTGTTTCCTCGCTTTGGATCGATTTCTTTTCGTTTTGCTCACTCTCGGTAATTATTTATAATTATGAATGAAAATGAAATAAAACACAGCTTGAAAATACTTAAAAAGGGTTTACTTTATTGAATAATCGATTAACCATTAACTAATTAAGGTGTGGATTCGCACTGTGCTGGTGAATTTAGTGCGCAGCGCAAACCAGCTGCCCGTACACTTTGCAATTGAAAAGTGTTACATTATGTTTCCGCTTTGCGATTTTTTTTTTTTCATTTTTAAATTGACCAATAATAAATCTCAATCAATAATAATCGTCACGCCGATTTGAAATACCGCTTAGCATATGTGCAATATATTTATACTGTCGTCCTGTTCACACGCACACACACGTACTCGGTATAATGCAGTTTTGTTGCGGTTTTTGTTGATTTGTAGCAACGGTTATGAATGTTAAGTTGAAATCAGCGCAATGCCCTGTCCATGCTGAACAAATCAAAAGTAAAAGCTTGATTAACAGCCATCAACGCGCATCAATACGTCGACATAAACGTGTTCTCTGCTCGTTTGCTGCGTTTTTTTTTTATTTATTCACATACATTTCCAATCAGTGTGTGTTCGATATATGCGCGCACTTGTTCATGACTTTAAATAGAAATTTATAAATTAGTTTTTATTAATTATTGTTTGCACCTTTTGCAAATGTATAAACCTGATGTACATTGGCATTCCGTAGCTGGAGTTGGTGAGGCCGTGTGTGTGTGTGCATACCCACGATGTCAATTACGTACAAGCAAACCAATCAACCAAACAACCAAAAAGTTTTATCGACGAAATTTATATGCAAATAAAAATAAATCACGAATGAAACGAAATGAAAATAAACACAGAAAACGAACACAAAAACAAACGACTAGAGAAGTTATCTTAATTGAATTAATTCGTTTGAATATTAACAACTGTATATTGACTATCTCACGTTGGAATGCTTCTCTGTGTTTTGTCATTGTTTTTTTCTGTTTTGGGTGCGGTGTGAATCTGTATTTCTTTTATCGAATCGAGTTGTTTCGATGACAAAATTTTAATCAAATAATTTAACACCAATTCACATAAAAATGGAAAATAACAAGCAAACACACAGAAAAAATCATGCAATAAAAATGCTTGTTTCTATCAATAAATGTTCATCTCATCCTATTCTTGTTGTTGGCTATCACATTTAAATTTACGATATTGCAAACTCAAAATAAAACTCGCATACAAACTAGGGGATATCCATGCGAATTAGAATTAGCACATTAGCAAAAAATAGGGAAATTTACATGAAGAAAATAGCAAAATTAGCAATAAATAGCAGAATTAGCACTGTACACGTATAAACTTTAGTAAGCATTTATTCTTGAATATATTGAAATAATTAATTAAAATAAAATTCACAAAACAAACGAATTGAATAGTATTGAACTAAAATGTATCAAAATATGTAGTTTAATACGCTTTTTCTCATTTTTAAATAAAAATATATTCAATGGCACGTAACCAAGCACGTTTCATCTGTATTAACTACAATTTACGAATTGCAATCGGAAATGTAGATTTGATGACAGATTTCTTACTGAAAACGTATAGGCTAGTGCCTGCTTCAAATATACACGTTGAAAGTGTCAACTTGAAACATTTACGTAAACACATTTCAGTTATTCGATCATGCTGTCAATCTGACGTATGCAATATTTTTGACGTACTAGAGAAATTAGCAAAAAATAGCAGTATTAGAACAAACTAGTAGAAATACTAGCAGAATTAGTGAAAAATAGAGAGAAATAGCGTTTATTATTATAAATTATTCGATCTGCAATTCACGGTTATCCCCTAGCATACAAATGAATCGAAACGATCGACTGAGATGGAATATGTGTGTGTGTGTGTGCAGCGATGTTGACCGCGCTAATTGTACAGTCGATTTATTCATCTCTCTAATTGGAAAGATTACACAATGATCATTTATCAGCTTCAGAAAGATTTGTATGAAGAGATTTTAAAAAGCCCATTGCATCATCGTCATCATCGACAGCATCATCAGCAACGACAGGAAAATCGATAGAGATAAAAACAAAACGAACAAAAAAACACACTCACACACACATCAAGAACACTGATTAGCATTTCAACTTGCGTTTTATCATAAATAAAAGTTTTATGGTCGCCTCTTGAATATTTAACTACGTCACGTTTACCTGTATGCTTTCCTTTTACAATTTTTATGTGGATATGTATTGCCGTCGGCTTGACCGACGTAGAAACAGTAGCAAAATCTATCATAAATTTTGATGCTATTGAAATTTTCGAAATTAATTGACTCACAACATAATTTATTTGACTTTTTAATCGATTGTCTATATTTACTCATCCGCATGCAGAGAATTAAGAACACACTTCCATATTTAACTGGACTGACATCTTGGGATTGATTTTTTACTTGTCAGTTTTTTTTTCTCGTTTCAGACATTCCAATTCACATTGCATTTGATTTGATGTTTTTCGTTTTGATTATGTTGAGATTTTGGTATACGATTTTGTCATCTATATCTAATTTTCATAGAAAATACATTATTTCGAACGAAATTGAACATTTTTTTTAGATATTTATGTATATTGAATAAGCCTGCTTACAAAACAATCACACATTTATTTTTCAATGCTGCGCCTTTTGTGAATACCATGCTAATTGCGAAGAAATTTGTTGAAAAAATAGTCAATGACACCATTTTGCAGACATAAATGTCCCATTTTTACCTAGGAGGTTCACACTTATGAGTCCAAACTTAATTGTATAATTTCTGGGATTCCTACGATTACGACAATTTCTACCATTTCCACGATTCATGTTCAACCTCAAAACAGCACGATTTCTACGATTCTCAAGATATCTGAAAATTCCTTTGAAATGTTCAACCTCAGTGCTAAAATATGTTGTTCAGTGTTATTGTTGCGATTTGTTATTTGATGAATTGAGTCAAATTATTCAATGTTAATTTATATTTTGTCAGCCATAC